TGTAGAATCATGGTCATAAGTACTAATTCAGCTTATACAGTGATTGTAGTATGTTATGTTTGTGAAAGATTGCCCAACTGCTTTTTCTTGGTTTTATGTTAATTTAAAAATATTAAACATAAAACTTTATTACATCTTCATGCTGCGATGCTGGGTCAATTTAACTTATGCTCAAGCAGCAACTGCCAGGAATTATCTTTTTCCTAGTTGTTTTTGCTCTGACCTTGTGCCTTTTCCTTCCAGAGACACACTATGGGATGATAAAGTATAATTGTGCAGCTTTATTGCTTAAATGGCATCTGAGGCAAAATGAGCATTGGTAACTGAGGGTGAGTGCCTGATGGAGTGATGCCGTTTATTAGTCAACTATTTTTCAAAAAAATTTTTATTTATTATTTAAAAATTATTTTGTGTGTGTGTATAAGAGTATTGCTTGCGTGTGTGTATAAGAGTATTGCTTGCATGTGTGTAAGTGCACCCTTGTCGCGCAGTGCTGCAGAGGTCAGAAGAAAGCATCTGACTGGAGTTATGGATGATTATTAGCCACCATGTGGGTGCTGGGAATCAAACTCAGGTCCTTTGCAAGAGCATTCAGTGCTCTTAACCGCTGAGTTGTCTCTCCAGCCCTCCATTAGTCAACTTTTTAAAATTTGTAGTTCAGGTAGCAGTTGCCCATGGTTTATAGCTGCATTCCTTTTATGGGCATTTTCATTGCTTGGGGTTTGTAGAGCTAAGGATTCCAAGACTTACCTGTTGTTCCACTTACCACTTTAGAAGTGAAAAAGCAAAGAGTATGTTAACACTAATAATGGGAAAAAATGAGTTCTGTTTCAATATTGGTTATAAGATACAACTTTTTTAAATGATTAAACACCAAAGAGAATGTTGATGTTGCTAGTGTCAGATTATTAAGCCTGTGAAAATCACTGTCACTTTTCTACTGAATGTATTGCACCGCACTGAGGAAAATCTTCACCTGTCAAGTTACAGTTGGATGTGGCTAGATGTGTGAGTTTGTTACGGGGTGTAGAATGAATTTTTCTTTTTATTTGCTACCATTTAAGTACTACTCCAAATCTATAGGCTTTTGTTTTTGTTGTTTTGTTTTATTTTGAGGCATTGTCTTTCTGTAGCCCTCACTGGCCTGGAGCTCACTATGTAGACCAGGCTGTTCTCAGTCTCACAGATAACCACCTATCTCTGCCTCCTGAGTTCTGGGATTAAAGGTACGCATCACTATATCCAGTTCTTACTAGTAGCATTTTAAAAATTTGTTGTAGTACTATGAAAAATCACATATAAATGATTTGACATGAATCATCTGAAAAAAATAAGGAGCATATTCTCCCACAGAGTTATAATAAAAGAAATTCAACCTGAATTGAAATTTTTAATCTTACTCTTGAACCAAATTCAAAGTTTCTGTATTGACCTGATAATACATCCTTCATAGCTGTTTTTCTTCCTGCATTTCAATACCTAACTGAATACATTGGATTTTAGTTTAGAGACTTTATATTTCTTTAATGTATATTTCTTTTCCTTTATGGCATCTCTGTTTTTCAAGATCTACCACAGTTATTTTGCAGAATATTTGTGTATTTATTTCCTTATGACCAAATTCAGATGAAACATTTTTTGCAAGAATACTACATTGGTGATTTGACTCTCAGTGTATCACATTCAGGAATGTGTGGTATCACCATGTCCCCTATTGGTCATGTTACACTGATCACTTGGTTAAGTTTGTATTTTTCAGATTTCTCCCTTTTTATAAATTTTACTATTTTTTCTTGTAGTTAATAAAGCATACGGGACTATATTTAATGCATTTTTCTGACTGGTATCCAAAACATTGAGTTTGCTCAAAACTTACCGATTAAAAATGCCTTTGCTTACATTCTGTGTTCCAAAGGCCAAAAATGTCATAAGTATTTGGGAGCTCTTATCTAATCCCTAAAAGATTTTAGAGTTACCTCATCAAAGGGGGGAATGTTAGAGTAGCAAAAAGCCCCATTAGTTTAACTGGTCAAGACTATAAAATCCCTAGTCTATCCATTGGAGGACCCACCTTTTCAGTCTCACTGGTGAATCAGCTGGTGATAGAACCACCCCTCCCTATGCAGGTTCACCTTAAGTTATGCTAAATAGATGGACTGAATACCTGGTACATTAATGAGGTAGCAAATTTTCCCTGCCTGGAATCTGGCCTTGTAATGCAGAACTCTGAAGAACTTCTGACCAGCCACAGTCACGTAGGTCTCTGTAAGTCTGTCTGCTTTCTGCCATTTGGCTCCATTCTTCAATTCTTTTATGAATGAGACTAAGAACCCTTTAGAGGACCCTCTTTCCCCCTGTTTTATAGTACACGCCAAAACTATGGACATATGGTGTCTTGCCTTAATTAAGAGACAAAATGACCTACAGTAACAGTATGTATAAGTGCTTTGCAGACAGTGATAGACTGGCACCGTCCTTTGAAATATTCTGGAAAAAATTTCATTTTGTACCCTTTGTATGTTCAGAATGTAGCATTACCAGAAACCCTCAAGAAAATTAAAAATTAAAATAATGCCTTTGCTTGTAGTGATGTGTATGATGAGGGGAGAGGATGCAAGGAAAGTAGAGAGGAGGACTCAATAACTAGACCGCCAAGTTGCTATCTATTCTAGTTACTTTCAGTTGCTGTTAGAAATATACTGACCAAAACCAACTTGGAGAGAAAAGGGTTTGCTTTATCTTATATCTCCCAGGTCACAATTCATCATTGATGGAAGCAAAGGCAGGAACCTGGCTCCCCATTCCTGGTACCAACTTCTGTCTTTGTTGCTGTGATAAAACACTGTGACCACGGGAACTTACTGGAAGAAGAGTTTATTTGAGTTTACAGTTCCAGGTTCCAGGGGGATTAGATTCCATCATGGCAGGTAAGCCTGATGAAGTGGCCAGAGCATGATCAGAAAGCTAAACACTCAAAGGAAACAAAGAGGCAAGGCTTAAGAATTCCCAAAGCCCAGCAAGGCCACACTTCCCAAAACCTCCCAAAGCAGCCACCACCATCTGGTGACAAAATTCCCAGAATTTCCATGGAACCTGTAGGGGACATTCTCATTCAAACCACCACAGTGCCCATTCCATTTTATACAGAATATTGATTAGTTCAAGTTACTATTTTGTTATTTTTTTTCTCTTATAGATGATCAGTCTTCCATGTATCCAAATATCTTCAATTTCCAAATTTTTGAATATTAAATTTTAGGAAGAATTGTATTTGGTAGTGGTGGAGGGTATCATTAGACAAAAGGTATTATCGAACTACAATTTTTCTATTTAGTTCAGTATTGATAGATATATTAAAAATAAATGTACCTTTATAAGTTTGTTATTTATTTATTTATTATTAATTAATTAATTAATTTATTTATTTATTTTGACACAGTGTCTCCCTGTAGTCCCAGCTGTCCTGAAACTCACTTTGTAGACCAGGCTTCCTTGCACTCACAGATATCCACCTTCCCCTGCCTCCCAAGTGCTGGGATTAAAGGCATGCACCACCACACCTGGCATAAGTTTTTTAATCTTTAAAGAGAGAGACTATAATACAAACACTGTGGTTTATAGAAGCATTACTTGCTTTTGATGTTAAATACTTCTTTGGCCTGTAAAGAAGTTGCTTGAATTCCTATTAATGCAATATGTATTTAGTATGTAGTCATTCTTTTTGTGTGAAAGGCTGATTCTGCAGATCATATATATGCCTGAAGTTAGACCATTTGGCTTGTTAGCAAAAGGAGATTTATAGTAGTGGTAATCATGGTAATAACAGGGATGATATTTTTTATTTATAAAGTATAAGGGGGGAAAAGCATTTGCATGGTAAGTGGTCTACAATGAGTTCATAACTGTGGTAAAATGAAAACATTTCTGCCTTAGACCATTAGTCTTTGTTCTGGCACTGTGTAGTAGTGTGAGTGATCACAGGTAAAACTTCTAACCTTTTTGCACTTCAGTTTTTTAGAGTGGAAATTGATCCATAAGGTCTAAGTGATGTGATACTATGTTATAAAGGTGATGCTTTATCAGAGACAAGTTATGTATATCTCAGCTGCTCAGATGCCATCCCTTTTCTGCATCTGTTTGTGGTAGACATCTTGTCAGGAAACCATGTTACTCTTTTTATGTTTATTCCTTTAAATACCTTACTGTGACATGACTGTGTAATAGACAGCATTCATCCTAGTGGAATGTTTTGTTGAACGTTTCTGTTCTTCTTGGCTTGCCCCTGTCACGAAGTAGGTATCCAAGTAAATGTGGAGTAAGAATAAATACTTTTTTTTAAAATAAACATAGATAGGTAAATTTTCAGGCTCTTTCTGCAATTAACCTTTTATCAATATTTTATGTGTGCTTTATTTAAGAGATTTAACATATTGCTAGCCATTAGCATTCTAGTAATGGAGAAGAAAAATTCTTTAATGCAAGTGTTATAGAATACTTTAAAAGGGGTTGAGAAAAGATGCCAGGAGGGAAAGACTAAACTAGATAAATCTACTGTATAAATCAAAGAGTTTTGTCATAACAGGAACATGTGCCATTCCTGCTTGTATATTGAATTTCAGTAGTTGCTTGAATAAAGAAGTAAAGAGTAATGAAACTGGCAAGCAAAGTATTCCCTAGTCAGCCTTATCTTTGTTCCATTTGTCCTTCAAATAGAGCCTTTCTTGACTTTTTCAATAAAATCCATCCAGTTTTATTTTTTCCCCCATCTCGCAGTAACTGAACTGAGCTGAGACCAATGAAATTCAAGGCTTTTATAGTTCTTAGCAGCTGCTTTTCAAGAGCTCAAAATTTAGAATGCTTCTACATGGTATTAAGGCTCATCTATTCATGTGTCCCTATAGGACATATGTGTTTCTTGGGGTGGGAAGAGGAAAGAAGAGAAGGGTAAAGGATGACCCTTCAGGAATGTTTGGAACAGTAAGCCCTCATTTCTTTCTTAGGATACTCTTTACAAGCTCAGTGCTTAACCTGACGGAACTGGCTGCTCTTCGGCCTGACCTGGGGAAATTGAAAAAGATTCTTTACTTCCATGAAAATCAATTGGTATATCCTGTCAAGAAATATCAGGAGAGGGATTTTCAATATGGATACAACCAAATTCTCTCATGGTAGGTATAGATTGCATCAAATTTTGGTTCTTTGACATGTACCCTCTCATTTATTTGACCTGTACCCCCTCCCTATTTATTTACGCACACTCATGCACGCGAGTGGGGTGTGTGTGTGTGTGTGTGTGTGTGTGTGTGTGTGTGTTCCCATCCCTATCCGGGTGGGGGGGTAGATGAGTGTGCACAGGTCAGAGGAGGGCATTGGGTGTCTTCCTCTATCACCCTCCACCTATTCCTTTGAGACAAGTTCTCTCTCTGAGAACCTCATGCTCCTGTTTTTCTCTTCTGGTCTTGAAGCCAGAAAATCCTAGAGATCCTCTTGTCTTTGCCCTTGGAGCTGGGGTTACAGGCATGTGGCACATGATCAGCATGTTATGTGGACACTTGAAGCCAAACTCCAATCCTCATGACTGTGCAAGAAACACTCTTAACTGCTAAGCCACCTCTTTAGCCCACCCCCATCTTTTTTTTAGATGGTAAGTTTTAAAATCTGGAGACCTACTCTAAATATATAAATACCTTAAGGCAGGTGCAGGTATTTAAAAATTCCGTCCGTAATAGTGATTATTTGTGTTTCTGTAGTATATATTACGTCACAGCTATTCTTTTTATAAGATACATATATGCATACATTTATCAACAGTCTAGTTATCTCACTCTGAGTTTCATGACATTCAAAATAGAAGCAGAAGTTAATAAATATCTTCACCCTTTGATTCCATGACACTTTAGAAATGGTAACAAGTTCGTGTTTACAGCCACTTTCACTATATTCAGTTTAATTAAAATAGAAATCTAACAGACAGTTAAAGCTCCATACATCATGGAATTTTGTAACTCCCACAATTTTGTTTGTTTGCTTCTTTTTTTTTTTTTTTTCTTCCTAAGATAGAAATTGGGAACATGGAACATGAATCTCTTAGTGTTCTCTGCCTCTCAACTGCAGTCCCCAGCTTATCCTTCTGAAATGACATATCCTTAAACTACTGTGACATTTCAAAAGTGTGAGGGGCCTTTTCTATGTTACTTCAGTGTAGTGTGTATCCTGATACTTAATGGAAGACATTAATAATAGCCCTGTACTAGATTTGCTATATAGAATCTTATATTACTGCACAAATCAAATGGAATCAATTTGGTACTGATTGCAAACATGTTACTCCCCTTCATTAATAGTTACTGGCTACAGAGATTGATAATGTGTTTAAACAGACTTTCTTGGAAGTCTGCTCCTCAGTTTAGATGACATAGAAAAACAGCTATACGGTAATAATTTTGTTCTGAGCATTTTTAAGTGTTTTCCTGCAATCATTTTTACAAGCTGCTTCAGTTGTGAAGGAGCAGTGCTATCAAAACAGAGCAGAGCTGCTTCACATCAGATGTCTCATAAAAAAGCAACCATTTTAAAATTTCATAATAAAATTAAAATACTTTATTTTATCCTGAAATGGCAAAGAGAAAATGTTTTAAAAATGAAAATGAAATCATTTTATATCAATATGTAAAACATTTGTTAGATTCTTATGATTTCTTGAAATTAGCATCATTCTTTCCTCAGATAGTGTGTGTTTATTACCCTGAAAAATCATGGAGAAAAAAATTAAGTTTATTTTTTTCTTTTATGAGTGGATTTAAAGTTAATGGAAATTACACCCTTTCGTATGAGAGAGGAAATATGCAAAAAAAGTGTACTTCTATAAAACATAATCAATCTTTAACAACATAGACTAAATTTTTGAGATTGATAATATTTGGGTTGTATGCCCAAGGAGGGCAGATACTAAAAAAAAATTTCAGCTCTTTTGTTCCTCTTCTCTTTTATAAGTAATTGTTTTTCCTCATATGGAGTGAGATTATAAAAACCTACACACAATTTTTCAGTATTTCTCAAGAGGTAAACTGATAGACAAGCTTGGACAGAAATAAGTGGACTGCGTCATTGTTTGGCTTATTGTTGGGAAAAAAATATTTCACAGTTGTCCAGAGGAAAAATAAGAATGTCAGAAACCAATTCTGTCCTGATTCCTTCCAAAAGTATGACTTCTTCCTCAAATGTTTCTTTTTTTTTTTTTTGCTGACTTCTGCTTTTTTGGGGGGGGGCACTGTCAGATTTTTCTTGACCATGTGGTAGTTAAAGATTTTAAAGATGATGAACATAAGCACTCACCTTAAACAGAGGTTTTACTAACCCTCTGACTTATGAACACAGGCTATAACTATATATTATGAACCCTGGATCTCTATTACAATATGTGACATATGGTGCAAACAGACAAGCTGTAAAGACATCCTTCCATTTTTGGTATATTATATTGGATTCCTTATTGCTTGGTGTTGTGTCAGCACTTTCATGCCATTCTGTTGATTATCCATGCTGTTATTGCCTCTGTTCCCCAAATTTTTACCAGGTAACAACTGAAAAAAAAAAAAAAAAACCCCAAAACAAAGAAATAAAATAAAAACTCCTATGTAAACGCAGCTTTGGAGGGGGAGGCACAGGGATGGCAGGTCAGTATTCCTTTCAGTAGGTTTTTCTTCTGTTGTCTACTAACAATAGCAAACATGCCTGCCTTAGTAAGTATGTTATAAACTAAACCGAGGGTTAGTTATTATATTCTTATTTTATCTACTTATGTTCTGTAGCTCTAAAGGCATGCTTTCTTTTCAGTCTCACTGAGGTATAAATTTAGAGTATGAAAGAAAACTAACTGATTTGTCTACTTGATCATGTTTATCTTCTTATAGAAGTGTTTGTATGTATTTTATTGAGATTCAGTGACACTGAATTGCTGGTTAAACAACTAAGACGATACTCTAGGTTGCTTTCTATTGGTGTGTGATAAATACCAGGTCAAAAAACAAGTTGGGGGAGGAAAGGGTTTATTTCATAATCTAGAGAAGTCAAAGTAGGAACTCCGACAGGCAGGAATTTTAAGCAGGAACTCTGAAGAACTGCTGCTCACTGGCTTTCCCCCAAGCTCCTGCTCTGCTATCTTTCTTATGCAGCCCAGGCCCACCTGCCAAAGGATGGTATAGCCCACAGTGGACTAGACCCTCTTTGTCTTGCCATATAGCCATCAGGAAAATGCCCCACAGATATGCCCACAGGCCACTCTGATGGACATACTTCTTCATTTAAGGTTTTCCTTCCCAGGTGTGTCAGTTTCGCAATCAAGATCAGGCATCACAGACATTTTAAAAAATCAAGACATCAAATTAATTTTTGACCAAAAATTACATCACACTACACCTCCAGCTTTTTGTTAACTTCTTCTACAGTTATCATTAGTATTCATTGATAGCAAAGAAAGTGTTATAGGCATGTAGAAAATTGCTGACATGTTTATATCACCTAAAATCTTTCATGGTTTCCTAAAACAATATTTCATATTTCTACTTTAAAGATATTAGAGAAATACAACCTGTTTATCAAAATCAATAGTTAACCTTACATTTTTCTTATTTATTTCAAAAGGTCCCTGATATTGTGGCCTTCTATATATTCTTTTATGTCATGAGTAGGATCTAATTTCTACTTCTCTGACCTAAATATAACATAGTAAAATGAATTATTTATAGAGAGATCATCACTCTTCCTGGGTAGTGCCAGCACTTACACACACACACACACACACACACACACAAAAAAAAAAAAAAAAAAAAAAAAAAAACTTTCTTCAAATAAATCTAAGCAGGAATTGAACTTTAACAATGATGAAGATAACATGACTTGTTATGAAAAGAGTGTTACCTGAAGTCTCCTCAAAGGTGCTCAGGAGTGTGGCACACATACTGTTTTCTGTAGTACAGTATGCAGTAATATCGTTGGACTTGCTGTATGTAATAGTAATAAGGTAGAAAGTCATAGCATTGAGGGGAATTAGGCTTTGGTTTGAAGTCTTAAGTAATTTCATTAAATTATTTAATTTCTTTGTTGCCTATCTTCCTTGATGCAACCAACCCAACATAGGATAGAATACTAAGAACTAACTAGTCTTTTAGAGACAGTTGGATAGATGCTCACATGAAGTTCTCTTTGCAAATCTAAGATACAACGTAAACTCTGTTTAATATGCAGAGGTCTTGAGCTTATAAAAATAACTCAAAATGAATCTGGGCTTACCCTTTGCATTTGCCTTTCCTCTTTACAGCTTAGTGGCTGATGTGATAGTATTCAACTCAGTTTTTAATATGGAGTCATTTCTGACTTCCATTGGAAAATTTATGAAGCTAATTCCTGATCACAGACCTAAAAACCTGGAAAGCATCATCAGACCCAAGTGCCAAGTCATTTACTTTCCCATCAAGTTTCCTGATGTGAGTAGGTGAGTGTGTTTAACTCTGTTCTCACTATTTAATTATAAACTTGCTTCTTAAATGTATACATATATTTATATTCTTCTTGCTAGTTTTGACTTTTCTGCATAAAAATAGCCAATTGAGTTCTATCTCTCTACAGTGTAATTTACAGAGACTTTAAATAATCGTATCTAATCTACCACTGAATGATTAGTTCAGCTCTTGAATTCTTTCTTTCTTTACTCTTATTTGCTTACCAAAGTAGGGTACTTTGACTTTTTTAATGCTCCTGGTTTTGTTTCTTTACTTGTTGTTTAGTTCCAGAAGTCATCACGAAACATATTCCATTCAGCTTACATTCAGTATTCCTAATGCATATAATAACTCTAAATAAATCAATGTTGTCTCATTTCTTGGATGACCTTATTTCTGCCTACCATTTTCTTCTTCTTTTCCTTCTTCATTTTCATAATTTTTATTATCTTAATAATGAGCTAAACCCTCCACATTGGGTTATAAATGTACTTAATTGCATTTCTCTTTCCTGTTAACTAAAGACATTTTTATTACCCTTGTTACTGGGCCCACCCTGAATTAGTAGTGGATGATGTGGCACAAAGGGAACATTCTGGAATTCCTCTTCACTTTTGTTTAAACTTAGAAAAATGATTTTTGCTACCACTAGGAATATTTCTCCATAGTGAACAGGAAGTTTACTTCACTGAGTCTCACACTAGCTGGTGGTGCTACTGTTTTCTAACTGCATCTTTTAAAGGTGTTGAAGAAAAGCTGTTTCTGCCTGTCTGAAATGAAGGCAAGAAATGATTTAATATCCATATTGCATGTTCTACACTAATGAGTTCACCCAAAATTTGCTGTCGGGTAGTGGTCCTTATTTGTACTCCTAATACTAATTTATTAGTGTCTCTGTAGGCAAAAATCTGACTCATATCAAATTAGTGTATCATAAAATTTAAGTTAGAATACATTGTCCAATTCTTACGCTATGGGCTTTAGAAACAAAAGGTCAGAGAATCAGAAATTGGCTCCAAGTCTCCCTGCCATTGTCACTGACTGGATTATGTTTGTGTCTATGACTTCTGATTCAAATGTCTGTGTATTGTTACAACTTCTGCCTTTATAAGTTGTCAATAACTGTGAATGGTTTATTTGCTGCTTTTAAAATTGCAACGCTAAATAAGAGAACTCAGATTACCTCAGATCATAATCAGTTTTCAAATATGTACATTTTCTGGCGCATGCTCGCTTGTGTATGCACATACATGTATGCACAGGCAAACATGTCTTGTTATCCAGAGATAATTGGTTCCATGGCATCTCTAGAAAATCAAAATCTGCAGATACTCAAGTCCCTTATATAAAATGATATAGTGTTTTCATATAATTTATGAACATTTTCCTGTATACTTGAAATCATCTCTGGATTGTTTAGAGGCCCTAATACAATGTAAACACTCTATAAGTCATTGTAACATGATATTATTTAGGAAATAATGACAAGGACAAATAGCTACACAAGTTCAGTAAAAACAGACCTTCTTTCTTCCCAAATATTTTCATCTGTAATTGGCTGAGTCCATGAATGGGAAACCCATGAATAAAAAAAAGGTGTCTGTATACATGACTTTATTATTTTGTTATGTACATTGATTGAATTTTGACTTTTGAGAGCTGTAATTGTTACAGTTTGGATCTGTTATCAAGTGAGACAACATTGTATGCTTAAAGTTTTAAAATATGAGCCTTACTGTTAATGGTTTTTGTTTTTTATATAACATTTATACAGATTTAGATCTTTGAGGGAATATAGGTAGCCAGTAGTGCATCTGAATTATTACTGCTTTAAATTTCCAAATAAATAATATGCTTTCAAATTCATTTGCATTACTTAAGCTCCAAAACATCATATGTTTAATACACCTGTGGCAATTCAATAGCTTAATTTTATATTATCATGAAGAAATCTTGCTAAATAGAAGAAGGTTAAGAAATATTTTGGCCAAGATATCATTCATAAACAGGTCTTAGCCAAGACTGGTATTTGAATTATTTTCAAATGGTAATTTGCTTTATACAACTCAAACTCTTATAGTGTAAGTGATTATTTGCATGAATGAAAATCATTCTGATGCCTGCAGTTTTAAAAATGTATTATTTTGTTGAGATGTTGAAAAATATTTAACAATCCCAAAGGGAAAAATAATTGAGATGACTAAAAAGGAGCAACTCTTGATTGCCTATCTTTCTCCCTACATAGATGTTATTTACTCGTGGCAAAGTGTATTTAAACAACAGTAAAGCAGAAGATACAGTTATGTTACTAATATAGCATGTATATAATATAGTAGTATAGTAGGTGTTAATCAGAGAAAAGGTAAAAGCATATCTATTAAAGGTAGTGAGAATTACTAGTTGCTATTTGCTAAAACTCAGAACATATCAGGTAGGCATTTAGCAGTAATGGACTTAACAATATCTATTGCTTCCTATTTACCCTTCTCAATCATCTCATCGTGAACTCCTTAAAACAAAACTGCTAAATAGATACTGTTCTCTTGAAAGTATTTCATAATATTTATTAAACATCGAGAATAGAAAAAGTTCTTAAATGCCGTGGTCACATAGATGTGTATTTGATTCTTGACCTCTACATAATAACTTGTAGCTAGTGCCAATAGAATAACCCTGAGCCTACATTCTTCAGTGGTTATGATTGTGTATACTTTGTATGATTGGGGTGATGTAGTGATTGAAGTGCATGCCAAGTGCTTAATAGACCTCTAAATAAATAAATATCTCATCATCTTAAGTCCCCCATCCTAGCAGTCTGTAACTTGACACATCTGAGGCCACCTGAAAGTAGAGAACTATATTGATTAACCCTTCTTACCTTCCTACAATCAACACATTAAAACAGAACTACTCTGCCAAGAGGCCAGTTTAATGTACATAGAGAGAAAGATTTATTTTCTTTTTATTTCATACAAACAACCGTATATCTCACTAGAATCTGCTACCCATTGTTTGAGCCAACTTCTCACTTTTCTTCTTGTCCAGTTGTGTTTTTATCCAATTCAATGTCTATATTCCATTATTACATTTACTCTTTTCCTAGTTAGCCTTAATTGTCAACTTAACACAGACTTTCATCTGAGAGGAAAGCCTTAATTGAGAAATTGCCTAGATCAGATTTGCCTGTGGGCATGTATTTGGGGGATTGTCTTGATTGTTAATTGATGATGTAGGGTTCAGCCCAGTGTGGGCACTATTATTGGCAGGTGGTCCTAGAGTGTATAAGAAAAATAGCTGAGCATGGGATGCATGCCTTTAATCCAGGCACAGAAAGACAGGCAATCTTTGTTAGTTTGAGGTCAGCCTGATCAATAGAGTGAGTTCAATGCCAGTCAGTACTCACAGTGAGACCCTGTCCCAGAAACAAATTAAACAGAAGGAAGGAAGGAGACAGGGAGAGAGGGAAGGAGGGAGGGAGAGAAGGAAGAAAGTTAGAAAGTTTAAATGTGAACCTTTGAGCAAGCCAGAGAATGAGCCAACAGCTGTTTCCCTCCATAGCTCATGCCTCTAGGTTCCTGCCTTGTGTTCTTGCCTTGCCTTCCTGCCCTGACTTCCCTCAACAATGCACTGTAACTTATAAGTTGAAATAAACCATTTCCTGACCTATGTTTCTTTTGGTCATGGTGTTTGTCACAGCAACAGAGATGGAACTAGAACAGTTGCCTTACAGTTGATCCTCAGATATTTTCCATTGCATGCTTTTTTAAATTATTGATTTAATAACCACACAATCAGAAGAAGCATTTCATTACAATAGCATTGACATATTCAGTAACAATTTCCAAACCTAAGATGCATCTACTTCAAAATTGGCTGTAAATTTTTAGGTTTACAATTGAATTAATACAGTTACACATTATTGTACTCAGTATAATCCCTATAAGACATAAAATTAAATGAGGTTTTAAACTTTAAAAATGATCTCCATTTCACTATTAAAATACAAAGTTTCATACAGAAAAACTCATTTTCAATAAAATTGACACTAAGATGCACATGCATTTCTAATCTCTATATACCTGATTATTACTAGTCACAGTCGGTTACTTTCTGAGCTCCTTGGCATCTGAGCATGGATATAAAGTCATCAGATAGATTTCAGTGGTAATGTTTTTCACATCTACCAGTTATTAAGTAGCAAATTTTTATGCTATGAAGAAATATCTTTTTAATTTTTTAAATTTAATAAATTTATTTATTTTTACACCCACTTCCCAGATAGCACCCTCCCATAGCCTCCCTCCCCCCAAGAGCACTTATACTCTGATGTCCCTGCTACTGTCTATGTTGTCGGCACCCCAGTCATTCCCCACTATTTGCCCTTCTGGTGAATCTAGTCAGCCTTATCTAGAGGTCTTTGTTTTAGGAGGGTCAACTGTTCCTCATCTAGCAGTAATCAGTTGTCAATATTCCTTTGGATAAGATTGGGGTCTGCTGTTCATTTGCCTAGTTCTATCTGGGTTACTATCTGGGAATCCCTTTAACCACCCTGGCCAACAACTCAAAAGAAGGTATCACCTGTCTGGCAATTGTTGCTTGTTATGTAGCCTTTAGCTATACATATGGACTCTTATGAAATTATATTGGCCCCTTTAATCTTTGGTTATACTTTCCTTTTGGGTGTTTAAGGCCACACAGTTGGACCAGATAAACCAATTTACTTTTACTCTTACGGTCGTTTGAAGATCTGTTCCACAGGGGTCACATGGGCTTGGGAGGAGCCCCGGCTCCTTTTTTTTTTTTTTTTTACCAGTTTCGCCTATATGAAGATAAGTCAAAGGTCCTGCTCAACCATGGTTGGCTTCGCTTGGAAGAATGGAAGAAATGATTCCTCTGTGTTGACCCTCCTCTTTGTAGACTGGACACTGGTTCAAGTCCATCTGGTGGGGTCTCCTCGGCCTCCTTGATCAAGAGGACAGGTGACCCACCACCA